CTGGCCTGCAAGTTCTGCAAACACAGGTGCATTGTTCAGCTCACTGATGACATGAAGGCATCTAGTACATGATGATTTTTTGCAAACTGGCAATGAGTCCCCAAAATGCACAGTGATTTCTGAACCCAATCATTGATAAATGGAAAGCAGGCATGTGCATCTCAGTCCAACAGCATAGCATTCTTTCAGAATAGGGGAGGTACAATGCCCTAAATAAGAAGGTGTTTCTTAACCCATGGTACATCTTACCGAGTTGATCGAAATCTGTAAAGGATATCCGCTGACCACATTTTTCAAACATTTTGACGTGAGCATGTTGTGCGTGAGAAGCTTCATGTTGACGTTTGCTTGCTAGCCAGGCAACTAGCTAATGACAAGTGCTCCTCCCAGCAGTGAGATGAAAATCACGAACGATTCCCCCGGTCCCGACTTCACAGGCCACGTCCCGCGCACGTGCCTCCCTCAATCCACCGAACAATCAACCACGCTCCCACGCGCACTTTTTTTTATTCACTGACTACAACGTAATCGAAACTTCACGTGTTCACAGCGATCCGAACAACAAAGAATTTGTACCTTCGACGTCATTAGTGACATCATACGGTTAGATTCCACGGCTTATATGTTTGCAGCTACTCCAAAATCACATTCTAGTTGATGTCATGAAAAATATTTGCGAGTTAAACAGTTTAAGTGGGTACCCAGAACGGCTCAGACGACTGACTTGATACTATCGTCATTCATGACGTCATACTCGAAAGATTATTGTACCGTTCTGTGTTCGTATTGACTAATACAACAACAAGGACCGACCACAGGCATTCGAAATGTTTTTTTCTACAAACAGATGATTTTCAGTGTTCAATATTAAGAGCATATTGACGATTTTGACTGACGATTGATTGACATGGCATTTGTGAACAAATATTTTAGCGCCTTTGCAGGCGCATTGTTCTCGGTTACTTGCTATAAAAAGGGACAGAAATGACGCAACGGAATTTGACTTATGGGCGCTGTATGACCTACAGCTGTCGATGCGCCCCAAAGCCCCAAATCATCATCATCAATTTATCTTACGCTTAGCAAGTCAATTTGCCCGCCCAGGGTGAAGAAAAAGTGCGATATGCCTTTTAGACAGCGTGGAGTGCAGTTTACATTGTCAGCAGCACGCACAGTAAATGCAGACATAACTGCCAGTTTTGCATGCGTAGTTGTTGCTGCGGAAGTCGCAAACATTAAAATAGAAAACATTCACCTATTCAAGTATTTTATACGTCAATGATAGAAGACGTGCCATGCTGTGAATATATTGTCCAAATGCTTGCGTGTCGTCGCGTGGTCATACAACAGTCAAAGTATTTAAAGGAAAAATGTAGAAATGGAAAAAAGTCATTTGGCACGGCGTGTGCATATGCAACGCACGAGCTTACCAATGGGTTGATCCTATCGTTCCTATAGGTTCAGAGCTTGGTATTGTCTACAATTAATTTTTCTGATTTCATCAGAGGCATGCTTGGTCACCTTTGACCCGCCAAAAGGTCACCATGTTCTGTATAGGATAGGTTATCGGCCATGGTACGTCGATAGGTGAGGATTTTGTGGTAATCGGTTCAATAGACTAGAACCATGGGGTTGTCTGTAGCTAATTTTAGTGGTGTTGAGTGTTTCCGATGGCCTTTGACCTGGCCGAAGGTCACTAACCCCCCGGGGCGATTGTGCCATCGACCATGGTACAACGATTGGGGAAGGTTTTGTAATGATGCATCCCATAGATTAGGAGCTTGTGGCTGTCTGGAAACGTATTTTGTCGATGGGAATTTTTAGTGATATTTGACCTGACATAAAACCTCATACTCTGGGAAAATCTTGTCGACTAGGCGGCATCTTATGGTGAAGGTTTGGTGTCGTGCCGTGCAATGTTTCGGAACATAAGTTGTCAACATGTTTCGTCGGTCGTCTAGTATCTCCCCTTGAAAACGGCCACAGGATCGCGTCGCATTCGCCGCCTTGATGCGACGGCTACATTTCTGATGCTCGCTTCTTATCTCAGTGATGAGCGATGGCCTAGAAACCGATTCGGTTGGAATTGGCTGCGATAACACTTCTTGTAAGGTGAACTAACGTCACGTGCAACATCCGTTCAGGGCTTCCCAGTTTTAGCTGGGCATTCTTTAGTGCAGAACTTTGCTATGGATTTCACTATGTGTTGTTAGAATTGCCTTCAATCGTGTATTCCCTCTAGCTTGGTCCCGCTGGATTGGCTTGGTATTCATTTTGTGGACCGTAGTGGAGTTTGGCCAGGGTTAAAAGGTATGTCACAAGGAGCACCGGCTGTGTGGTGTTTAATGAGCTGTTCAGTTAGTTCTATTCAGGTATTGGTGTGCTTGCCACATTTGCTGATCAGAAAGTAGTTGCATTTGTTTACACTAGGTTCTTTGTATCTAACATACATGCATTTCAGCTTCTGTAGTTTGGAACTGTCCCTGGGGCGGTCTTGAGCTTGCCAAATAATGTACCTATTAAGCAGCAATGCATGTCACAAAAACTAACTGTGTTACTACACTATTGTGAAATGCATCATTAAGGTAGATTTACTGTGTTCCTGTGAATGTGGCACAATCTTACAGTTCAAGAATGAAAAGTGTTGTAGATTAATTCAAGCATTTGTGTGATCGCATATTTTTAGCACATACCAGTATTCTTTGATGCCGAGATAGTACACAGTTTTGTTGAGTACTCCATCACACACTGCACAATTTTTCAGATTTGGTGGACAACTCTTAGATATTTGGAAAGATATTGATGGATAGTCTTCCTTGTTTCTGAGATTTGAAGGTGGCGGGTTTAAAACAATCACCTGCTTTGTTCTATTGCTTGATTTTGCAATTGCATCCACTTTTTATGTACAATTTTATGGAAGTATGCTTTTGTTTTTTCTATACAATAAATTCAGTTCATAGCCAAAATGCAGCCAACCATGTTATCATGGGCCACCTTGTGCTCATGAAAGCCATACAACTCCAGGGGGTATGGCTCAACATTCCTTCCATGGCAAGATGTTTGGCAGTGAAGTAAAACTATATGGTATTTTGAAAATTCAATGCCATAGGTCACCAGCCATTCAGAAATGTGGATTTGTATCATGTGCACACTTTTGCAGGAGATACTTGGTTATGTGGATGCATGATTTTATATCACCACCTTAACTGGGTCTCAATGGTATGAGAATGTGACACATTGTCCATAGGTTTTCCTTTCATTGTTTACTTTTCTTAATGGTGCATCTTTGCCTCTGGTGCAGTTATGAAGGTCAATAGATGATATCAAAGATGTACACGGATGCCCCAGAAATGTTCGTGAATTGTATCAGTGAGTGTTTGCTGTACATATGGGGCCTCCTCTTCAGGGGAACTTGGGAAATAGTTTGTATAGGGTCCTATGGTAGTGGATTACCAAGTCTTTCACTCCATTGTTTGTCCATGAGGAATTATCAGAGTATGGTTCATTTGGGCTTATATGCTTTGCACATACTGCCACCAGTCTAGTGCCAGTGAGCACATGTCCTCACATGACACCATTTGCTCTGCCTGGCAGCGGTCGCCATGATGGAGGACCTGGGCACATACTTATCACAAGCCGGTCCCGGCGGCTGTGTGCCGTACGCTGAGCCGCTGCCGCCGCACACGGGCCCCGACTCACGCTGCATCCTCTGCGACTCGTACATCACGTGCGCCGCCGAGCCGCCCACCGGCGTCGACATCAACGGCTTCCGGCTGCCGAGCACGCAGGAGACACTGGCCGAGAAACTAGAGACGGTGGTGCAGCCAGGCTGTGGCGTGTCGCTGCACGCTGCCGCCCACCACTGGCAGATGAAGGTGGGCCGCCTACCGCCCGCACCCTCTCCCCGTCTCTGGGACGGGCAGCGAGGCGGGCGTGCTAATGCTCGTGCATTCGTAGAGTGGTGTTAAGAATCAACTCTAAGGGAAGGAACAGCGGAGGTCTGTCGGTGCGGTTCAGAATGTACTTGAATGTCACTCGTGTTTGAAATGGAACACAGCAGCCATCATACGAACTACTGTTATTGCAGTGCTAGGTTTTGACGAGCAAAATGTGGGCTGGTATGATGGTATGGTGTCGCTATACACCAATATGATGTATAGTGGCAGCTGGCGTGCTTTAAGGGAAAAGTGCTTTTCTGGCCACCTGGCCGGAAAGCACGCATTGTGTTGTATGTATATTGTGTACCATGCTGTCTGATTTTTGTTTTTGGTTTGTTAGCACCACTTCATTTTGTTAGCAATAGCACCAATCTACAGGCATGCATTGCATCCACAGCAAAGGTTCTCATCTATTTGCATGGCTTGTCAAGGGTGTGCTTTGCTTGCTTGCTCCAGGGATTTTTGTGGTTTGTTTGCTGCTCAGTATGCTGTCATGGCTGGAACGCCATGTTTTCTGTTCTCTGGTTGTTTCCTGTTGTTTTTTTAATGTTTTCCCATGGTGGTGACAGCATACCTGCTGCCCCCCCCCCCCCTCGTTGGCATCGAGCGTCGGCTTTCCTGTTTTCCGCTGAGTGGGCTGTTCTCCGGCAGTATCAGTGACTTCTCCGCTTTTGCTGTTGTATTCACGTCATATTGGATGTGTTGGCGGCATGTTTGCTCATTTCCGGTGATTTCATTGACATATTGTGCTTGTTTTGGTGGTGTTCACAGTGTGCTGGCTCTGTCCTGGCTGCGTTGTCTGCCTGCTGTTGCCATGTCATTTGTCGTATGCGTGATGCGTGCATTGGCTGTTCTCGGATTGTGTTGATGTTTATGCTGTTCTCTGGTTGTGTTGACAGCGTGTCTGCTGTTCTGCACCTGTGTACGGTGTGATGACTTGTCGCTGTCCTCGGGTGGTGATGACGATGGTCTACGCTGTTTCAGTATATCTGTATGGCATGCTCAGCTGTCATCATGACTCTCGACTCGTACGAAACGAAGATCATTGAGATCCGTGAAGAGATCAAGAGAAAGTTCATGGACATGCTGAAAATACGCGCAGAAAAGTTTGGAGAGCTCCAGGTTTGACAGCTTTTCGTAGTTATTCTTGACGAATCGCAGGCTCGTGTACTGGTCTGGCGAACTCCAGTATGAGTGCGTCTGAAATCAGATCATTGTATTGGTTAAGGTGTATTGCAAGAGATGGTTCAGTCAGTTCTCAGTGGTTCTACGTTGGAGAGCACGGCACCGAAAAGCAGGCGTTTGGCAGGTGTTCAGAGGACGAGGTCGGGGTCACGTGTTCCATATGGGAGAAGGGGAAGGTTGCGGAGCTGCATCGCATGAGGGCATCCAACATTCGTGTGGTCCGTAATCTCCACTGACTTAGTTGGGTGCCGCTCACTTTTTGCTGGTACCCTGTCGGCGCATCACAGAGACCGGTGATACCTCCTTTCGGCCGACTGATAGTTCGCAAGGGCTATCCGTTTGCGGTTACCCTGCCCCCCCCCCCTTGCCAATGTCCTCGTGGGTCACAAAATAAGCCTACATGGGTTTACCACGGCAGAGACAACGCATGAGTTGTCACGTATAGCCAGAGCTCCAAGGCCAGTATGTTGCCAGTGGGTGAAGCTCTGTAAGTTCCATGTGAAGACAGGTTTAACTATACTAGTGCGGAAAATTTGCTTGGAGCTATGTCGTCCCAATGTACCTAGTACGATGGATTGATACGCTCTCGGGACACACAAAAGCCTCGTTTTGCAACGCAGCAAAGACAACAGGAGTGCCTGTGGTGCTGACTGTTGTGCAGCGAGCTGGGTCACTACACAACAGCGAGGAGTTTCGCAGGCTCCCCTCCCCGCTCCCTCCCCCTCAACATATGGTCTCAGGGGCACGGCTCCCATCCTTTGTTGGTGTTGTGATGACCCCGTTCTGGTTGATGTCTGACCAGTGAGAGGTTTGGAGCTTTGTGAGTGATTCTGTCAATGGGATGACTGTACCCCTGCTCCGTGCGAGTGGAACGGTACCATTGTCATCGCTCCTGTCAGCTGACTGACAGAACCTTCCCGTTGAGTGGGGCGTGACCCATATGGGTGTTCCTGTCAGCTCACTGGTGGTACTCTCCCATTTAGTAGATCTCGACTGGTGTTTGTGTTCCTGTCAGCTCACTGGTGGCACCCTCCCATGGAGTGGGTCTCTGCTGGTGTGGGTGTTCCTGTCAGCTCACTGGTGGCACCCTCCCATGGAGTGGGTCTCTGCTGGTGGGGTGTTCCTGTCAGCTCACTGGTGGCACCCTCCCATGGAGTGGGTCTCTGCTGGTGGGGGTGTTCCTGTCAGCTCACTGGTGGCACCCTCCCATGGAGTGGGTCTCTGCTGGTGGGGTGTTCCTGTCAGCTCACTGGTGGCACCCTCCCATGGAGTGGGTCTCTGCTGGTGGGGTGTTCCCGTCAGCTCACTGGTGGTGCCTCCCAATGGCGTGACGTGACCGGTGTGAGCGGCCTGCCGCTGCGTGATCGTGACGCCGCGCCGCGCCTCCGCCGGCAGCCGATGCCGGCACCGCTGCAGTCGCCGCTGGAGCGGCACGCGCACGTCAAGCGCGAGCCGCACGAGGAGGGCGCCGGCGGGCCCGACGAGCCGGCCGAGGAGCGGCTAGAGTGTGAGGTGGAGCTGCTGTGCGAGCCGCCAGCCAGCCACGACGCCTCGCCCGCCGATGAGAGCGACCTCGTCTGCCCGGCCTGCAGCAAGCGCTTCCGCAACAAGTACAACCTGAAGCGGCACAGCACCGTGCACGCCGGCGTCAAGCCGTTCAGCTGCGAGTTCTGCACGCGCGCCTTCCGGCTCAAGGACCATCTGAAGACGCACATGCGGTCGGGCCCGCAGACGGCGCCGCTGGCGTGCGCGCCGTGCGGCCTGACATTCCCCTGCTTCACGCTGTTCTCGGAGCACCGCCAGCAGTACCACAGCGACGGCGGCGACAACCCGTGTCGCCACTGCGAGCTGGTGTTTACCACGGCCACCGAGCTGCGGCGCCACTGTCGCCAGCTGCACCCGCACCCGGTGAAGCAGGAGTTCCGCTGCTCGGTGTGCGGCCGCGACTTCCCCAACGGCTTCAACCTGCGGCGCCACCTGCTCGTCCACTCGGGCGAGCGGCCGTTCGGATGCGACCTGTGCGGCAAGCGCTTCACGCAGCCGTCCATTCTCAAGAAGCACAGCCGCGTGCACGAGAAGAAGCCGCCCGAGCTGAAGGAGCTGCTCACCTCCATGTAGGAGGTGAGGCCGGGCCTGCGGGCGACCGGCGGCGCCTGCCGCGATACTCGTCGGCCAGGCGTCTGGAGCCGCGCCGGGACGGGCTCAACGTCGCGGTCGTTAGTCCTCTTGTTGGTTTTCCACCACCTTGTACTCACCTGCGCTGTCATACTGTGTCTGGTAGCTGACTGTTTTTTACATGCTTTTTGCCGAGGAAGGCTTCAACAAGCACAACCCCGGCATAGTACATGCAATTCCTTCGGAAGACACTTAGTCGACTTGATGTCCGGAGGCTGTTGTTTGTGCGTTTTGTGAGTAGCTGGCATTGAACAGCATTAGTGGCACGGTTCTGAAACCTGCGCAGATGAAAGGCAGAGATTGTAGATTAAGGGGACATTCACTTGCCCCGAGTTTCGGAAGTGCGTGGTGCTTGGACTGACTCTGAATTAAGCGGAGCTTGTTCTGATCCGATTCCCGCAGTCCCAACGCCGCTTAAAAAACTTCTCATTCCAAATAGTGTCGCCTGATCGCGAGCTTCCCTCATGGCGGTATGGTGGGCGTAATGTCGACACCAGCGGCACACCCGTCTTCCAGAGTTTGGTTGTGTCAGGCATGCGCAGCATGAGCATTCACGGATATCAGACCTCAGAGCTAAACTGGTGATCCTGCACCTACTCGTGCTTTTGTTACGAAGTTTTGTTTCCAATTGCACATCCTGAAACTTCTCGCCAGTAGTAGTGACATGGTTCAAAGAAGGCACCTAAGTACCTTGTCGAACGCGATTTTCATATGGTCGTGATTAAGATGGTTTGATGGTGCTTCTGTCATTCAGAACTTAAGTCGGTGTGACGTGTACGCACTCAGTTCAATAAGCGCCTGCGTATATTCATCTCTGGTAGGGGCTTGTTCCGGACGCCTGAGGAGCGGGGCCGGAGTTCTGCACGGTCAGGAGGTAGGATAAATTATGCAGTGTTACTCCCCCGTCAATTTTGCTACCTCCTCAGAGTTTGACCCCACTTGTATCCGAAACTAAAACTGCTGCTGGCGGCGGGTCTTACCCCAACGAATATGAAACTGCGCGGCGGCGCGCGGTCTGCTCCGCGCTGAAGCGGTGTTGCGTGTGCCCACTCCTGGTGAAGGACGGCACGTATCGGCCGCCAGCACCACGTGTGTCACGTGTGTCACGAGCCGGCCACGCCAGCGAAGCCCGTGCATGTCCGTCGAGAGCCGAGTGCTCTGGCAGCCTGCTTCCGGATCTTTGGGGCGTCGGTCGAAGTCGGGCGGGCTCGATATCGATACCGGCGCTGTCGATAACCAATGCACCTGGGCCCGGCCAGAACCGGGGCGCCTACGCAGCGGTGTGGCGCATGTAGCCGGCGGTTGGGGGCCAAGCTCGTTTTGTTCGGTCGGTGGTCGGTGAGGCGACGCATGTAGAAAGGACAGGCCGCGTTGTGACGTCATTATCAGTGTAGCCAATGCGAACAGCCTACAGGTAGGAGCCAAACTGGTACCAAGGTTTGTGCGAATGGTGTAGAGATGACTTTGGTGTGTGTGCGCTTTATTTCCGTAAATGATGTACAATCCGCTCTTGCGTAGGCGATGACGGCCATGTTGGCTGATAGCATCTTCCACTGTTGGTCGCTTTTTAACGATAACTTTATTTTGTAACTTATTTTGTTTTGATCTGTCTGTGTTGTTAGACGATGCTGGTGTTTGGAGCTTAGAATATCTGATCTTACGAGGTAGAGATAGTGTGAACAATAAACGATATCCTGCTGAATGTTTCGTATCGCAAATTGATCCCAGCTGGACCTGGTACGCTTGTAACACTTGTAACATCTGGCCATCGCCACTTGGCACTGTTAGCCTGCACTGCCAAGATCAGGTCCAGATGAACAGCACATGCCAATCTCTTTTGTGTTGAATTGCCGTTGGAGGGGTCCGCGTTAGAAAAACTTAGTAACTTGCGCTGGTGACCGCCACGCGCTCTGGCGCTGGAGCCGGTCTCGGCCGCGGCGCCGCGACGTCTGCCTGCTGACCGTGACGTCACGCCGGGCCAGCTGACGCCGCCCGGCGCCGGCTGCAGCCCGAATCAGTCAGTGTTGCTGGCGGACGCGCCGGGGACGCACTCCTCCCGAGGTACGCGGCGCCGACGCCCCCAGTGCACGTGCCGGCCGGTGCTGCGGCGCGGCGGCGGTGTGTCGGCCCCGGTGGACGGCTGAGGCCATGGCGGGGCGGGGCGCCGCGCCGCGCCGGCCGCCCACGCTGGGCCGACGTCTCTCGCGACGCCTGTCGATGGTAGCGCGCTCGTCGTCGCTGCTGGTCAGCCGGCAACTCAGCTGGTCCCGCGAGATGCTGCCGCAGCGCGGCCGCCCCCTGCGCGTCACCCTCCTGCTGCCTGGAGGAGCCCGCCGCACGGTACGTGGGTCCGCGCGCGCCCCGGCTCGGCGCTGCTGGGCGGCGGCGACCGGCGGCACACCGGCTGGACGGCTGGTCGGATTTGGTGACCACGAAATAGCGTGCCATACAGCCTGCCGTCCCCGACAGCTAAATGTTGTCATGCTAAACAGTAAATTTGTCGTCGGTGTGATGACTTACACAGATGGTTCAAAGACGGATGCAGGTGTAGGATGCGCTTTTGTGTGTGTATCCATAACACGGTTATTCACACTGCCTGCGCACGCGTCTGTGTTAATTTCTGAGTTAATGGCCATCAGCAAAGCTCTCTGCTTTATTGAAGAAGACGATGGCAATTTGCATTTAATTTTTTCCGACCCCTTGGGCAGCCTCCTGGCCTGTGGCTTCTCATCGAATTCACTGGTCCAGGGCATTCAATTGCGTCTTAGCTCACTGGATCGAGCAGAAAAAACGGTCGAGCTGTGTCGGATCCCAGGTCATGTGGGCATCTGCGGAAATTATCTCGCTGACGCGGCAGCAAAGCTCGCTACGACAGGGACACGCATTCCTATAACACCACTGCCAGCTCAAGACATGAACCCCGCAGTGTCGTTGTCTATGCAGAAGCGATGACAGTTCCACTGGGACTCGCTGAGCGCCAACAAGCTGAAGTCAGTGAAGCCTCGTATTGGGCTATGGTAGTCGAGTTTTCGCAACATTAGGAGGGAGGAAGTTGTCCTGTGCCGGTTACGCATGGGTCACACATATGCCACGCACCGTCACCTGTTCTTGGCTGGCGCCAGACCACGCTGCAGTCGATGCTCTGACCCGCTGACCGAGCATCACGTACTCGTTGCTTGCCGTTACCTTACTGCAACGAGAGTACATTTTTCGGACATAACGCACAGGGTTGCACGCTATGTCACTTAGGGATTGTTCGCATGCTGTCGAGTTTGGTGGTGTTCCCGTTCCTTCGCGCTGTAGATATCCCAGTAATCTTTTCATCATAATACGAGGTCCGATCATCAAGGCATAAATTGGATGACCTGATTGATACACTTGTTTGATTTGCGACTCTGCGTAAGAGGATAGTTATGGGCGCTGCATGACCTAAAGCAGCCGATGCGCCCCAAAACCCCAAATCATTATCAGTAGATTTGTCGTTTGTAGTACGTTTCTCGCTTGGGTGTGTAACATTTGCAATGGCAATCGAGGCACTGAGCCCTTCTTTGGCATATATACTGTAGTTATCCAGCGATGCCATGTCAGCGCCCGTGCCATCGAGGCTTACCGACGAGCGAGATGTGACTGCCGGCTATAAATGATGCCAGCCAGCAAGGTTACCTTCGCCATGCATCTGCGTTTCACTGCCATTGCCATAGTCGTCTGCTTGAGATTGTAGTTCAGAAATGGAAGCAAGATTTCCGGGCCCGTTACGCTCTCATTCTTATGTATTCGTACTAAAGAAATCTAGTGAGTGGATACGTCAACCATTAAAGAGTGTCTCAACACTTGGTGACCAAACGAAGACGGCATGTCAAGCGGAACTCCGAATTTTGGGTCAAGCGTTCTTTTTCGATCGTTCATGTAACCATTTTTGCATTCCCGAGACCCGTAGATGTCTGGCGGCAAGAAACCGGCACCGGTATGCACAGTTGCAATAACTTTTGAGCCCGAGCAAACGTCGCATGCAAGCACATGGGAAAACATGGACGCCAAGGGCAGGAGTACGGAAGTCTGTTTGCGTTCGGGTCGAACTGTCGGAACTAAACGGAATTTGCGGAGGAAACAAGCACGTCATCCAAGGTCCCGCCCTGTGTGCTTGATCTACTTCCAGCGGAATAACCTGCCGCTATTTGTCGCTGACGTTGGCACGTATTCCAGAATTGCTGACCGCACCAGTCGCTCAAAGTCGACCGCGAATCGGATAGCATGAGTAATGAACACCTGTACATGCGTGCCGAACGGATGGACAGGCGCATCAACGGGTTTATGTCCGCAGAGGTTTATGAATGTTTTTATAAGTGTTGTTGTTATCTTTTGTGTACTTTTATTTTTGCTTGTGAGAACTTCCAGATGTAAGTACAAGTCCCCAGGGGAAGGAATTCGAGCAACAAGCAAGGTACATACAGTAGCCGTCCAACCCAGGTCAAACCATTCAAGAAAATATCTTCGGTCGCTCAGTAACGTCTCAGAAACAGGGTGCCAGGCGGCATTTACCGAGCAATGGCCATAAGAAGTGAAAGTGTCATCTACAGTCCACGCCGAGCCATGCTGTGAAAGGTTGCTAGCCGCAGTAGGTCACCTAGCGATAAATGGCTCAAACGGCGGCCTGATCTGCCACCGGCTCGGCCAAGCCGACTCTAGCGTCGCTGTTGGTGGTGGTCGTGGTGATGCAGCCGGCGGCAGCGGCTGGTGGGCCGCGGCAGTCAGCCGCTCGGTCTGGACAGGCGCGGGGCACGGCTGCGGCGGACTCCCCGTTTGTGGGGCTTGTCCCCCCCCCCCATGACAAGCGTCGTCTGAGGTTTGCCAACGACGGACCTGGGAAGTCGTCGTTTGCCTATGATAGGAGCGTGTCAGGTGCTTCGCCTGTCACTGCTGGGGTGCAGGACCTGCTGCCGCGTGCCACTGCGAGGCTGCAGCGTCGGCGGTGGGCTCGCCTGTTGTTGCTGGGGTGCAGGACTTGCTGCTGCGTGCCACTGCGAGGCTGCAGCGTCGACGGTGAACTCGCCTGTTATTGCTGTGGTGCAGGACCTGCTGCCGCGTGCCACTGCGAGGCTGCGGTGTCGGCGGTGAATTTGCCTGTTATTGCTGGGGTGCAGGACCTGCTGCCGCGTGCCACTGCGAGACTGCGGCGTGGGCGGTGGACTCGCCATCAGGTGGCGGTCTTGTGTCTCCCACCGCGCCTGATGAAAAGTCGTAGGTCCCCTTCGAATATCGCCCAACACCTCTCGAGTCAATAGGACACGTCGATGTCAGTGGCAGGCCGAAGGACGAAATGCGATAATGCTAGCTTAAAATTGGAATTGCTATCACGCCGCACTTGAGATGCTTCCGTGTTGCTTTGTACACGACTACGTACATGCCTCTTATTTTGCGAGTGGTTTCGGAAAATTGGCTTCAGAAAGTCACTTGGCAGGATATGTAGTGAAAGCAGATATATCTGAAAATCTACGTTAACTTTTCGTTAATAAACCAGCTTCTGTCTCACTTTTATCCTTCCGAAATGTTGCTCGGAGTCCACGGATATCGGTAACTGTATTTTATTTCATGAATGTACCTTTCCAACATTATAAATATAACTCCAGTGATTCGCCACAACCGCCAGCGGGACAGCGGATCGTGACAGTGATTGTGGGGGCCTCACACGAGCCGTGAACCTGCGCATTTTAACCCGCGGACCCTATTGGGTCGGTTTGGAGCGACTGCACCACATTTGCCGTCCGTCTGCGGGTGTAAAGATTGCTCCACATAGCAACCGTCGATCTTCGTAACGCG